GGGATGTGCAATTGAAACATTCCATTTCTGATGTTAATGTGATGTTAAGTTCATCCTTTTTGCTGGATAATTTTTTAAGTGACCATGTTTCTGTTACTTACAATGTTGAATAAAGAAAAATATCAACAATTTTATAAAAAGAAAACTTCAGTTGGAAAAAAATGAAGTATTCTGATGCTTTAAAGACTTATGTAAGAGTTTGATATCACTGTAGCACTCTGTGAAAAATTCCGTCCTATTATAAAAGTACAAATATGATGGACATAAAATCCCATCAAGGTAACCAAAATATCTTTAGGATACCAATATATTGGTGTTGGTCAGTACCTAAATCATTTACAGGTAGTCCTCAACTTATGACCACAACTGGGACCAGAACTTCCATTGCTAAGTGATGCAGTCATTGAGTCATGCCCAATTTACAAACTGTTTTGCTGTGGTTGTTAAATGAATCACACAGTTGTTAAGCGAATCCAGCTTTCCCATTGACTTTGCTTGTCAAAAGTCTCTTGGAAAGGTCGCAAATGGTGATCATGTGACCCCAGGATGCTGCAACCATCATAAATACATGTTGGTTGCCAAATACCTGAATTTTGATCATGTGACAATGGGACACTGTTTCGGTTGTAAGTGTGAGACCAGTCATAAGTCACTTTTTTCAGTGCTGTTGTAGCTTCAAATGGTTGTTAAATGAATGGTCATAAGTCGAGGACTACCTGTAATCTGTTTATAATATGCTTCACAAAAGCTTTGGATGCTTTTGCTACAATAAACTTGTGATAGCAGGTGTTATTAGCATTACAGTATCAAGAAAACAATTTTTTTCTTGTCATTGCACCAGTACAATGTGGAACCTAAATGATTATTATTTTATGCAGCCATAAAGAATTAAGTCAGCTGGCCTGTTAATTGTGTATGAAGAATTAACCCTTCATAGAAAAACTGTTGTAGAAATTACAGATTTGTAAACAATACACTTTAGATATCACTTAATCCAAATGCGAAAGTCAACCTATGTCTTCAATATACCTAAGAATGTTTGGAAAAACTATTTTAATTTGTTGAATAGTATGAATCTATAATTATTACCAAATGTCTAAAAACTTTATCAGGCAGCATGCAAACCACAATATTTTTTAAAGAGTAATGGTAGAGCATAACCCCATACCCTGTGAAAGCTTTACCATGTTGTTCCACATATTAATCCCTCATCTTTATTTCTATAAAAGCTACCCCAAAAAGCTGTCCAAGATTATTAATATATTCTGTTAGATTTTTGAAATCATACAAAATGCACTGCCATTTGGATCAAGCTAGAAAGTACCTATTTGAAATTTTAGTGTTCTTCATGCAGTACATATTGTTCTCTAGTACTGGTCAAATTACAGCTTTTGTTCTAGTATTACAATACACTAGAAATGAGAGCATAAAGGACAACAACAACAACAAAATTAAAAAAAGATAGTTAATGAGATATGCATATAAGTACAATACTGTATTGGCATTCCTAGAATGTTTTAAAATAGATATGTACATTTCCATATCCATCAAAGACTTAATAAAAGATGGCTCCTCTAGGCAATTTGCAAACTATAGCTTCATCTCGATATATGTCAACGTAAATCAAGAACTTTCCATTCAGTTTTTTTTCTAAACAAGCATACCATAATCTCTCCTACCCTTGTTTCTGTCAAAGCTTCATAAATCTATCATAGTGCACTATCCTCTCAGAATGCAGTCAAAATCTCAAATATTTAAAAGATATGATAAAATACATACTCAGCAAGACTATCACCCTGGTAGAAGTAGGTAATTTTATCCACTTGAAGTATATATTTCACTGCAATAGAACTTTAATAGACATCAACTAATCATGTGTTTAAGCTTAGCTTTTTATTATTGGCCTTTACCCTTAAACTGCTCTTTTCACTGAGCTTAATATATATGATGAAAATAGTCAAGCCTTCTATGTAAATGGTTATGCATATTAGTCTGTTCTTTAAGATATTTAGGGTAGAACTAGTCGGACAAGACATTACAGTCACTTTGTCAATATTAAGATGCCACTCACTCTTTTTAACCTAATGCTTTCAGATATAGGTAACCCTAAAATGTAGTGCTCTGGTTGTTTCAAAATTTCCTGTAATCCTTCTTTGGATTGTAATCTTATAGAGGATTTAGGATATGAGTAACTGCTTCTCTTGAATGTATATTTTATAGTCTTGTATTTATCGAATGCATTTATGGGATCCCTTAGGATGTGAAATATATGGAAATATATGTGCATTACTAAAGATAGGCCTAAATTTATTCTTTACCCACATCATGCTCTTCTTTGCAGTTGCCGCTTTTAATTCAATACAGAGCCAGAAAAAGATGGAGCCATTTTCCTGGTTTATATGTGTGACAAATGCCGAAAATGGCACAAGATTAACAAATTAGTTGAAGTGTAGATCTTAAAAAAACCCATATGTGACAATAGCATCACTCATATGACAAAACTGTTTGCAAGAAGCTATACCTAATAATCATCTTAATATGCAGAAATTAATCTTTATTTGAAGAGATGTACTTTATAAATTCTGATTTTAATAAATTGTTGATTTACATCAGAAAAACCTTTTCTGCATACGATTTAGGATTACTCATCCATTCTATCACAACCCACCTGTTTTGCTTTTGTATAAATTACATCAAAATTGTAGCATTATGCACTACATACATTCTTTCTTTCTGAAACTAACAGGATATCCACGTTTGAAATCCAAGCAGAACCATATTCAAGTTGCATGTTTCAGACACCCAATCTCCCCTTCACATATCTGTTCATGTTGACAGACTATGTCATAATATATCAACAGAAGGATCAGCACAGAAGAAGAAAAATTCATCACCTGACAGTAGGAGGAAAACTGATTTCCACTATTAAATTAGCAGGTATATACCATGATTTCAGTGCCAATGATTTCAGCACCCTTAAGGTTAACGGAATTCATGGTGTTATGATTATGCAAGAAACAGTTTTGTGGGTTTGAAATAATGTTTCCATGTAAAAAATAGTAAGAACAAAGAGGCAAGGATCAACATTGGAAGTACAGAAGTAACTTCAACTCTGTGCTCCCCATGGCTCTCAAAGAAATATATCTTTAACCCTAACCCAAACTCTAACCTTTATTCCATAAAACATTTTTTCTGGCATGTTTTATTTGCTAGCTCTGTTATGAGATGCTTTAACATTAGAAACTCATTCTTAAGGCAAGCATCGCACCCGCCTGCGCATGTTCTCAGAGTCCCTTTCACTTCCTTATTGGTGGAGAGGCTGTTTTTAATATACTATCCTGAGCTTTGGTGTTTCAGCTAGGATTTAACAATACCTGGAATAAATAATGTCTTTTGCAGCCTGAGCAACAACTGCCATGTATGCATTAATTCTGCCCCTGTTTGAACCCTTTCCAACATATGCACTTTTCTTTTGTTGGTTATCCTAGAGTTGTGTTATTCCCAAATATTGACATTATCTACTTTTATCAGCACTAACTGCTCTGGAGCTTCCTAGTCTCATGCTCAGCTCTATTTCTTTCTATCGATTATCTTCCTCACTCCAGCAGGTACCTCGCCAGAGATGCTGTCCTGAGAAACAGCTTCCAATGACTTTATACGCACAATTTCCACGGAATTGTTTAAAGAAGATATTAGCCTCAATACAAATCAGTGAATCTCATTTAGTCAATACTGCACAATTCAGCTGTTGGCACCCTGTCATATGTTAGTCTTTAAAGTCAAATACCATACCCAATCTGCACATTAGTGTAGTATTTAGTTTCATATTAAAATGAGGCAAGGTTCTGGGTTTTTTTATTATTATTATTTGACTTTTGGTTTAAATCTCTTTGGTGCCCTTTTTATATCACCTCTCTGAGCCATATGATAGTAATATAATGTTAAGTATA